TCCCGTTTCTCAGGGCAATACTCACAACAGCTATAGAGAAAGACGACAAAATTAGCAGTCACCAAGGAAGACGCGCTTGGTATACATTCCTGATGATGACACTGTAAGCCATTGAGGAAATGTTGGTAGAAGACATTTAAACCTTTTATTATTACAGCTTACTGCAAACTCGGAGTGTTTGTGCAGAGTAAAAACAAGAAGAGAGTATGTATTTTGCATGGAAAGGTTGCCACTAGCTAAGGTGTTAATGATCTGTCTCTGCTGAGAAACCTCTGCAGGACAAACAATCCTGTTCAGAGAATTCACCAAGTGCCGAGACCCCCAGACTGGAAGACAAAAATCCTCTATCACTAGAAAAACACCATCACCACCACCCACCAGGAGAGAAGAGGTATACCATCACAAACAACAGCTAGATTACCCCTTCACAACTTGACTACAGCCTTGAAGAGAGAAACAGCGGATGGGTTATTTTTAATGGAAAATTCATTTCAAGGTTTTAGGGAGAACTGAGCTGGAAAATCACCGTGTGATGGGATAAACTATTACAACTTCAGGGATAGAAGTGGACAACGTGATTTCGCAGTGCGCGCTGCCAGTGAAAGGTTCTTCCCTGCAACTCCAAGGGCAGGAGAACGGACAGAGGTTATAGGATTCCTGCGTTCAGAGTTAATCATTTACAACAACGCAGAAAACCATAGGGCTGAGAGAAAGGTGATGCAGAGAAGCCTAGAAAATGTAATACGTTCCCTGTAGCAAATACCTGCAAGAGGTCAATGTACTATTTTTCAGAAGACTGGCATTGTTTTCGTGTCAATACAGAAGTCTCAGCAAAATACTCAAATATCCGGCAACAGGTTCTTGAGTCTTTCAGTCAAGCTGAGGAAGCAGGCCGTGGGGAAACTTGAAATGGACAGGGAGAGAAACCCTTATTCAAAATAAAGGTTATTGTAAGCCCTATTTGCTTGCTTTCAGAAGCACGCAAAAAAAAAAGCGAGCCATCACTAATTACAACTATCACTCACTCAGAGCACAGCAGAGTCTCCAGCAAGATAGCAAATGCTTCAAAATGAACAGAAAAGAAGCTTCAGTTGCATCATTACCTCCTGGAGACTGTACAAACACTGTAAGCAAACTAAAGCTATTTTCAGTTAAACACTATGTGTTAGAGATCATTTGAAACAAACATTTTTTCACAACGGTAATTCTTCCTGAAAATTCTCTTCGCAGATAATTTAGCAACTGATGTTTTCAGGGAACAAGAACCTGCAGCCTGAATCAAAACTTTAGTAACTTGCACAAAACATCACTATTCACTGACTGCCTGAAAAGAGGCATGCAAAACGGTCGCGGGGGGGGAGGCTGCGTCCAGGTGCTGGGCAACAGCAAAGCAACGGGATGGCTGGGTCAGACGTAATGTCAAACCGCGTTCAGTTGATCAGCCCGTGTCGCAGGCAATGCCTACGCCTCACTGATTTGCCTGTATTGAACCCCTATTTCACATTTCATGCTTTAAAAACGAACCGCAAGTTACTGTATCTGACCAGATTGGTTGCCCAAGGCATCAATATGGCAAATCCTTCCCTTCTTCTCAAACTCAGTATGACCCTGGCAGCAGTGCTGCAAGTTCCCACATACCATCTTGCCGAGACAAGCCTCAGATGCAGAGCAAGCAGTAAAAGCAGGGTTAAAAGGCTAGGTCAGTCCGCCAGGCCCATTTGCTTGATGTCACTGTTACCAAGCGTACCCCGGAAAACACTGATTGCAGCGTGAACATTTCCCTTCCCAAGGCAACTTACCATTTGTTTCACAGACAGCGAAAGCCAACCAGCTGTCAAAGGGCAAGGCAACGGCAGCTGACAGGGGCCCTCAACCTACAGCTTCCTCTGGAGGCATCTGCTCACGCAGAATCAACTGCTGAACGTCACTCAAACATCAGCGTGCTCAAAGGTCACTACCAAAACTCAGAATATAGTTTCCCAAGCTGGTTAAGCCAACCACACAAAGCGGGCAGAAAAAGGAAAGGTCAAGCTTTCAGCACGTGCCAGCACTACCAGGCACAGCTGTGTGATCAGCCCTAACAGCGAGGTGAGCTGGAAACTGGTTGAAAACTAACCTTACTCTAAAGAAAGTAATTTACACCCAGATAAGCAAGGCAGTCCAGCTGACTGTACAGCTCAGCTGCTAGTGCTGGCGGTTAGGAGAGCAAAGGAAGGGGATGACTATCTCTTGGTGGCAGGAAAGCCTCAGATTGGTTTAGGCCTTACATGAAACTTGACCTTTGGCACTAAAAGGCTTAGTATCCCACTGACAATCTGTTGACGTTTCAAGTCTTCACTTACCTATGTTTGTCAATAATTTGCGTTGCTTCGAAACTTCCAGCTTCACACACTGTCTCAAAATCAGATCTGATGTTCTCAAAACGTAGCTTGTGCAACATTTTCCAGTCTGTAGAAAGCTGGTCACATGGCACTTGCTCTTCTTTTCTCTGGCTGCTAAGTTGCATTAAACAGAAGCTAAAAAAAACATTAAATACTTTCTAATATTACTTTTTGACATAAGCAGTTGTTACAGCCATTACAGTGATGTCACAAGAAAGAGGGAGAGGTCTTGTGACTACTGCTCTGTTGGGATATGTCTACTGAAAGTTTAGAATGCCTTGGTGTGTGTGTGTGTGTGTGTGTGTGTGCGCGCACGCATATCTTCATTTTAAACATTTGCCTTAGCATTGATACCTTATCAAAACATCAAAACAACTTCAAGAACTCAAGTGAACAGATAATCTCTTTTTACTCCAAGGAGGCAATAAATTTAGCCTAATTAGGAATTTTATCTGCAATGCAAAGTTCAAGGAAATGCTGCCTAATATGCTGCCAGGAAAAAAATTGCATCCGAGCAAGCTATGGGCCTGCTGTTCAGTGAGAAGTTATTTAATAGGACTGACAACCCACTAAACAGGATGCGTTTAATAGCACGTGGAAGTAAACTGGCTTTTTATAACATTTGCACAGATGTAGCGCTCTTCTCTCAGGAACCATGCAGGTTTTACATTCGTTAACTTACATGCCACATACTTGTATGATGTGGAGCAGTACCCTTTAAGCACAGGCAAGCCAAGGCACTGGAAGATGGTAAAGTTTGTTTTTTCTTGACAAATGTGCAGTGCCAGAGACTAAAACAGAAATCTAGTTCCCAATTCCCGGAACCCTGCTCTAGACATAAACCCACGCTTCCACCCAAACATACCAGCAAGATCGGGTTTAGAATTATTCTCTTCACTTGCTCTGCTTGGCTACCTGACTTCTTGATTGGCACTGCTGCCCCCATGTTTCTGAATAAATCCATGAAGTTCTTCAGTGTCTGCAAACTCATCTTTGAGTGGGGGGGGGGGGGGGGGAACACAAAAAAAATTATTTGATGGGAAAGCAAAGAGTCAAATTTGAATAACCATTCCTTCTACTTCTGCAGTCACTTCTGTGAAGTTGCTATGGCTGTTGTGATGCACTTCCGTTCTGCATCACTTCATTTGCTTGAGTGCAGAGCACAGATGATTTAATTAGAATTTTGATCTTCAGAAAAATCTGTCTGTGCCCTTTGCTAAGCAAAAAACGGTAAAAAGGAGCTAACCCTAAGGGCCAGTGGAAGAACTCACTCACCCAACATCACCTAGAGGGCGCAGTTTGCTCAGCCCCTCCAGATGTCCCTAATATCTGGAGCGATGCCATCTGACTCCAGGGAAATACTGGGAAATCCTCACTGAGAAACTCCTCAGTAGAGACTTGAGTTCATCTCTTGTATAAATCAATCCACAGGTTTACTGCATTATGTTGCAACAGTAACTTCCTCAGCTCCTTCCTGTTAACAGTAATACACTGGTCAATACACTAGTCAGTGAATAAACCATCTGTAAGACCTCCAGCATTCATTTTGTACAAACTGAATCCAAGACAGATTAATTTGCGAAAATCCTAGCAGAAGGGATTTCATTGTAACTACAAATTCCCATGGAAAATTGACAAACAGTAGCAAATTATCAATCCATTTCAGTACAACTTCACTAGCAGGTCAAATTTCATCTTTTTTTTGGTCCAATCTTCAAGTATTCCTAGATAGCAACAAAAAGACAAAAGCTTAAAAAAAATTCCCGAAACCTAATTTTTCAACATCTTTTTTAAGCACTCAATACCCATATCAACATTGCTGACTACTGTATTCTCTGCTGCCATCCATCATACATGAGTGCTTTTTCCACAGAAAGAGTGCACCGCAACTGTGGGATTTTACCGACTTGCTCTGGTACCTAAAAATGCCAACCTGCCCCACTGTCCCACCTATAAATCAGGGAAATAGGCAAATCACACATGCCAAATTTGATTCTTTCAGTCATCTCTGATTCGGTTTTGATTCTTTCACATAAGGTCCAAGGGATGCTTCAACCTATGTTCTGCTCTCTTTGCCAGATACTATTTTCAAAGCACTGCAAAGCATGTCTGGTACCTTTAATACATCAACAGTGTTAAGTAGTGAGTAAATAAGCTCAACAGCTTCAAAAGTACAACAGATATAATGCTCTAAACCAGATTAAGAATATTTTAATGTGTTACTTGTCTACTTCAACATAGGGAGTTTTTACTGTAGAAACACTCCCCTGTAAGTAATTCTGCACTTTTATCAACATGTGCGAACACTTATCCACTTACACCATGAACAAATATGAAGAAAAATAGCTTTTTCCACAAGAGCCTTGATGTTTTTTTTTTTTTAATTAAAATCAGTTTAATGATTGATAAGCTCTAGTATTTCAGCAGCGAATCAAAAGTGGTTGACTGTTTTCAGACACAATGAAAAAATGAAGATAATATAACTACATATGCTAGCATATTTAGATAGTTTACTGGTTTTCAAACATAGGAAAGAGTGAGGGTTTAACATGTAAATTGTCATGACCAAGAACAAAAAGTGAAATGAGCATTTTGTAAGAATCAGGAACTTCAACTATATAAACTTACTGAATTATTTTATTTCCAATGCTTAATCTCTCACAAAATTACTTTCAACATACTTCCTACATCAGAAACCAATAAGTTTTCAGTATCTGATTAGCACTGGGAAAAGGGTGTCCCGTACATTAAGTCGGCACAGTTGCTAATTCAAAAATGCGCTTCACTTATGCCCCCTAAGCGAGGGAAAGACGACTGCAGATACCTGTTTCCTAGGACCTTTCATTGGCTCACCAAGCTGGCAGACGCAGCAGAAGGCAATTCAATCAGCCTGTGTGCGCATAAACGAGGAACCATATCTTCCTTACAAACAGAACAAGTGAAGCTGCAGCTGATTCAAGATTAGCCATGCAGTAGACTAAGGTTTCATTCAATGCTGCAGGGAGAAGAGGAGAGCAGGTATACGGCAGCGTGAGTCCTAAGGCTGAGGATCCTCCCTAACCCCGCATATCTTGCGGGGTAGCTATCACTGAGGCTGCATTTACCATTTAAAACAGCAGCTGCCTGTTGTTCCTCAGCTGGGGCTGACGGGAAGAGGGGACAACACACAAGAGGGAGCAATTCCTCTTTTGTACTGTTATTTTATTTTGTAGTAAGATCCACGTAGTATATAAAATATAACAGGAAAAACTGAACAAAACCTAGAAAATAAACTGTCCAGCTGGCAAACCACTACAGCTCTGCTGTCCTGGTTCTCTGAGGTTACCAGAACTCATGTACTGTTTACCTTGTACTTTACAGTTCTCTAGTGTATGAACCTACATAAAAAGCTGATATGTTTCAATTAAGCCAGGGTTAGATGACAGATGTAGAGAAAAAAAATGGCTTTAAGCCACAGCTGCCCTTGACACAGGTTACAATGATGTCTAACTATACCGTAATGCTCATTATATCAAGAACCTTGAAAGAGCCTCGGGGGCACGGGGGCGGGGAAAGGATTCACATTAAGCATTCTAAAGGAAAGTCACAAATACTGCACTGTACCAATGGTACCTCCCAATATCCTCTTTATGCCTGAGGAGCATTTGTGGATTTTAATAAGCTACTACATAGATGACACCAAACCTAGAGGTAGGTTACAGGCAAAGGTAAAAATACAGGCAAAAAAGATCCCTTTAGAGCTAGTCATTGCACAAACTGCCCAGCAGGAAGCAAGGCAAGATGTCAACAACTCTTTCCTCTCACCTTAAATTTACATTGCTCACACGGTGCGTTTAATTTTTAGTGCCATAAAGAACAACAGTGGATCATCAGCTGCTAGTAAATGCAGTCATGCCAAGACAACAGCTTGAAGTTATTCAAGCAAAAATCTGTTATGGTGCAAACTAGTGCACTGAATTGTTACCCCTTCAAGTTCAGGAAGTGACTTGATGATAGAGAACTGAAGGTTTTTTGTTTTTTTTCTTTTTGACATGGGTAATACTCTGCATAATCAACAGGAGAACAAACTGCTAAGTCTATGTCGTAGGAGTCAAACACATTAGCTTGACTCAAAAGGTTAAGAAAAAAACCCAAAAGTTTAGAAAGGAGAAAAAAAAAGCACACTTTTCTAGGAGCAAGGTGGGGTTTTTTTTGTTTTTTTGTTTTTTTTAAAAGGTGACTGCAACAAACAAGCTGGTAAAACAGCTCGTCTTGGTTATCATCTGTGATCAACATAAGGTTGATAACAAACAGCATGTGCACATTTCAACAAGAATGAGAAATGCATTTGTAAGTACAATAGTTAAACAGCAAATTAAACCCAAGTTTTAATTGCGTAACGCCTTCAGGTTAGGAAACACGGACAAGACTTTCATCTTCACTACTTTCTGTGCACTATTTGGTGAAAATCAAGAGTAACAATGCTCAAGATTCATTTTATTTCTACTTCCAAAGGAAAAGGGGAAAAGGTTAAATAAAACTGTTCTCCAATTTGTTCCCCACTATATGTACACCCACACACATACACGCACGCACATGCACACACCCCTCAAACTGCACTGACATTTCTTTTTGACCAAAAGAGTAGATCCTGGGAGTAAGTGCAAAATGCAAAATCAACTGACAGAAAATGCTGAACAAACAGCATCATAAAAATACAAAATATTTATATTACTGAACTATTAACAGATGATGTTCTCTGTTTCTTTAAAACTTTGGAACCACATAGCTGATTTCTTAAATCTAGTCCATGCCAGCTTCCAGAACTATTAAGGATTTAGTTAGCTTCATTCTTTGATGCTTCATCAAAGTTTTCTACGAGATCTGAAAAAGATGAAGATATTTAATACGGTAATGCCCAGTAACATTGTCTTCATATGCTTAATGAAAGTGCTACACTCGTATACGCAGTTACTTCTGGAGGGATACCAAGGGGCTTTAGGAAAAAAAGCGTGTTTGAACATACAGAAAGAACTAGAAATGCAGCACTCACGAGAATGGAAGTTTTAACATGAAACAAATAAAAATCAAACTTTCAGATGTGTTCCACTAGCTTGACTCTCAAGTCATCAGTTCGGCATCCATTGACTGTTATACATCAAGAAATTGAACGTTTTGAAGAGATCTGCATGTTTTTATGCACGATCATAAAGAAATAACTCAATGCTAGAGCAAGAGAAACTGAACCTCTGGACCACCAGTTTGCTGCTTTGGCTAATACACTATACTGGTGCACACAGAAGAACGTGGTTATTATCAGTTGGCACACTAACAGTTTACTATATTTTTATTTTTGTGTCTTGATAAACTTTCAAATGTTGATACTGGCTTAATTCCTTCTATTACAGGAATACACATCCCACCCCAAACCCCGATTTAAAAGGGCAACCTGACAACTATGTCAATTGTGTCATTTTACAAATATTTCACTTTGTAACTTACATCCCTATACAGACATTATCTAGATCACCTACTCCACCTCCCTGGAAGTATTTTTACCTGAGAAATTACACAATTTGCCAAACTATTTTCAGAAGCTAGAATCCAAAACTGTCACTGTTTTAACGCTACCCAGTATATGAAGCTTCCTTTAACAAGTGAGAGGTATATCAAGAGCCATAATTGAAAAGTATGAATTGAAGTATTTATACAGTAAACAGCCATATAAGCATATGTGCCTACCTGGGACATCATCATCTTCTTCATCAATGTCTTCAGATTTTGGTGCTTTACTATCCAAAACTATAAAAGAAAACTGGTGCTGAGTCCCCATTATACAGAATTAGAGACAACCACACAATGAACTAAAAGAATGTACGCGTGAGAATAGAAAACACTTGTTTTTCTGATAGCAGCAGACAAAAATGACGGGTACCAACTGATCCACAGTAACCTGTGTGAGCTGAAGGTCCATCTGGGAACAATCTCAGACCAAAGCAGACATGTTAGCCCTGCCTTTTTTCATAGGGTATGGAGATATCAAATCTCCATCTAACAAAAGATCAAATGATACAGAATAACCACAATACTATTAAACCTTCTAATAAAAACAGTGCAATGTGTTTCAATACAATAATAACGTGGCACCAACCAGGGCTCAACACATCATATGACTCAATTACCTAGCAGCCACAACTACAGCAAGAAGTATTTCCATATCAACGTATTCTTCTGTAGATCTTGGAACTTGAAACATGCTACAAATAATCAAAGCGCAAGAACTATTAAAAAAAAAATTCTCCTCCTTGGTCTACCTAATTTAAAACTTGCTTTTTGGTGTTATCCAAAGAAAGCATAGTAAACATCAACTGGTACTGAGCTTTAAACAAATAGGTTCATGTCAATCCATCAATTTAGAATTTAACGTGTAGTTTCTTTTACCTATCCATTTCAATAACAAAGAGGGAAAAATAGCATCCTTGCTTTCACCTAAACTCTGAACATGAAAGACACAGAAGAAATGGTTTTAGAAATAACTATATTCGTTGAAAATATCAGAGCAGATAGCATGCATTTTCTAATTCCAAATATGGACAACTGGAACTTGCCCAAATACAGTTCTTCTAATGGTTATTTCAGTTATTGTTGAGGACATAATAAATCTAAATATACAAAACAGGAGTTTTTGGACTCTCCAACGTCACTAGGGCTGGGTATTAAGAAATAGTTTTCAGCAACATACATCATGAAAGATGAACTCTGACACTGACGATTGTGAAGAAAAGTGCACCTGTTCTGTACCCTCACAAGGCTTTTCTAAATTAGTATCAACATTAACAGACCAATTACTCGCATGCTTTAAAGTTCTTCTCATGTTCTCATTTCATAACACATACTATTAAGAATAAATGCCCACCTGCTCTTAAATGACAAATTTGCTTAGGGAGAACAGTTGACACCTCTACAAATCACACTACAGTGGTTCACCAAGGAGAGGTTATTAAAGCAGTGATTCTCCCCCAGACGCCATTACTCCACTGCAATACTTTATCACATTGTGACAAACATTATAGTAATAGTTATACCAATATATTACTGCTCCTGTGGTTTTACAGGAAGTAGAAAATAAAGAATCTTTAAAAACATACTTTATTTAAAAAAAAATAAATCTTTTTTTCCTTCCAAAGGAATTAGAGTCAAAGAAAAAGAACATACTTCTTCCACTAGATCAATAACAGAAACACATTTTGTATGAACAAAGAATCAATTCCCTGACAAACATAATCTGATGAGTGTCTCTACGTAAAACTTGAGCTACTCTTACTTTCTTCAATATTTTGTCACATGCAATTTTGTTTTAATTAAAAATTCCCCTTAAATATCTTTACAGTGATCAATACTGAAATTATTTTTTTCCCTAAGGCCAACACTTCTATATTAATTTCTTCCATTATCTTTGTGTGCACTAGGACTTTCTTTTTGCAGTTCCTAACTAATTCCTTAGCTTTTCTTACAAAATTCATGTCAACTTAATAAAGACCACTTAGAAGAATGTTCTTCCTGCATTTTGAATAAACAATAAAGTTAAACTACACATTCAAAACTGCAGAGTGCTAGAATTCAGTAGATATAGAATTACAGCATGCCTGACTTACCAGAAGTATTTATTATTTTAATATCTGCTATAATATCACAGCTTGCCTATAAAGAGTCTTGGGAAAAAAAAAAAAAAAACAAGGAAAAAATAGGTGTTCCATTATATTTCTGCCACAGTGGCAAATAAAAGCAAATACTATGTTTTTGATTTCTAAATCACACATGCCGTATTAAAATTTTAACCCAAATAACAAGATATGTTCAATGAAAGATTCCAAGAAGACCTACCTTGTCTTGGGAACTGTTCAGCTAACTTCCTGAGACTTGTTAAGCTGTCAGCACCAAGCTGGCTTAAGATGCCTGGAAGCATTTCTGTGATCGGTTTAGCCTCTGCATGCCCAGTAATTGCAAAAGTGTTAGCAGAGAGGGACGCTTGAACCTTGGGGTTGTTGAAGTGAATAACTGTTCCATCATCTTTTATCATGTTCACCTGTTTAAATGTACATTAATAACATTTACCAAAATGGTGCAGCATCTTGTTGAACAAATATCATAAATTAATATTTTAACATTTAAAGATTTGAATTATTAAGACATTACAGAAGTAGTACTCCTGGAGAATAACAGAACTGTGAGAAAAATATCTAGAACTAACACCACCTGAATTGGAAGCAAAATAAGAGTTAGTGGTGGAAAGACTCAGCCATGAAGAGGCATAGTTTAAGTTCCAAAATTCCTTTATGAAATACTTATCTGAATACTAAGCAATAAATTCACAAGGCTTTTATGTTATCATACAGTTCACGCATATTTTTGACAAAGAAGAAAAATATGCGCAGGCCATTAGACTCCAAAGTATAAACTAGTTAATATCAGGGAGGGAAAAAATTAAGAGACTCCAATTCTGTTAACTGTTTACAGACTTAAGGCTCTAACAAAAAAAGCCATGCCACATACGTTCAAGACACTGCCATTTCCAGCTATCTGGGTCACCTAGCAGCAAAATGTTATTGCTTCTGCAGCAGAATTGGCAAGAGTGCAAGATTCGCAGTCTGGCATACTTGCTGGAAAACGCCCAATACAAGGATTTTTCCTCTCACGCATCACAGAGCTGGACATGTATACACCAATTAACACTAGAAGAGGGTCCCATGTCCTCCTAATAATTCCACCATGTCTCTTAAGTACATCATACAATGATTCTGCTCCCTTCACCCCTCCATGGTCTTCTGAACTGACAAGAACTGACACATCCCCTTATTTAAAAGCCTCTCTACAAAAATAACAAACCAAACCAAAACAAACAAACAAAAAAACACACAACACCTTATGTTTGACTCAACATCACTAACAGACAACATTTACCAAGGTCAACTTGGGTCTACCTGAATTACTGGAATTATATACCTAAATATCAAGACAGAAGTATTCTGGATAATCTTCTTTCACACCAAGACATTTTATATCTTAATAACTCTGTGAATGAAGATCTTGCACTCAGGGAGAGGGGGAGAACAAGAACTGTGTTCTTTGGGTATGTATGGCACAGCATTACATCGTTATGCTTAAGTAAACAGACAAAGTATAATGTTTCTGTAGCAGAGGTTTGAAAACTTACAGGCAAATCAGGCTTCTACTCTGAATTTGTATTTGCCTTTGGAAGAGAGGTATACACTAAGTGACCTCTGGAGGCACCTTCCAACCCTGCTTAAATCAATTAATCACAGATTAAATACTGTACTTGTTTAATGAATACTACAGTAATATTTAGTTCATGATGAAGGAACACTTCCTCCTCCCACATGCTATTTTCACATTTTCTCTGGTATTATGGAAAATGTCAGTGTTCCAACTCACATTGTATACTAAAAGACTTATACGCATAATAAAATGGAGAGACATTCAACGACTATCTGAAAACTTTCTATTCCTCTTTATGTAACAGAGGAGATGCTTCCTTAGAGTCTTTTCCAGTGCTGTAAAAAAACGTCAGTCTCTTGTGACTGCTGCAAACAATCCTGGTTTATTTTCATGCAGTAAAAAGGATTTAAGTTTGATAATACAGATTAACAAGTGCCTACTCCAGGCATTTTGATGCCTTTCTTTACGTTTTGTACCACACGACTCTTGCTTTAAAAGTGAATGCGCAGTAAATAAACGTTTGCAGCTCTTCCATTAAGTAATCAAGTTCAAGAAGTCAAGAATCACGAGAAGTTTTGTTCTGCAATTAATGCAAGATACATACATCATAAACAGCTCACTAGCTTCTATCATCACTATCTGGCCAGCAGAAACCTCTCCCTTCTTTGTCTAGGTATGTATGCATTGATGAAAGTGAGACAGTGAAGTTACTTGATCGATTGCTCTATGGTCGACACAATCATACCAGCATAAAACTCGGATATTTCTTAGTCATTCAGTAACCAGACCTATGAGTTTTGGAGGGGAAAAGAGAAAATTCCCCCCCACACACACCCTTCAAAAAACAAACAAATACACACAACACACCACAACAGTGAATTTCATTTCACACAGGAAATATTTATTTTATAACTATACCTCTTCAATGCCAGCAATGTTATTTACTGCCAGTTTTTTGAGGGAACTCTGAAGTTTTTTGTCATCAGCTGTTGCTGTTCTGTGCACCACCTTCTTCTTTCTGCGAGCTGTTCCCTGAAAAAGAACCAAGAGACAACAGTCAGCAATGCTCAGCATCTCACTGCACTTCAATTTTAAAAGTCACACCACGCTTGACACAACATCTCTTAAAAAGATGAGAAAGCTCTGCAGTCAAAAACGCTTCTTTATTTCCTTCATCCACAGTTTAACAGTCACTCCCAATTTCCATTATTCTTTTTTAACTGTAAAAGACAGAAACAACACTCAACTACTGCAGTACTTTCCCACAAGTTAAACTGCAAGACTAATATTATTCACTAGTAAACAACGTAAAACTCTTGCTGAGAACTTCTTACTAGTTATTTTTTTCCCAAGATGAAGCACAAATGCAGTGATTTAAAAAGTTCAAGCTTTTCTAACCAAGTAATTAACACTTTTAAACTGTTCTACTGACAGCAATTTCAGAATTCCTACTTTACCAACTTTGTACCAAAAAACCAAACCAAAACAAAAATAATAAAAACACCCCTACCACGCCTAGGGTTAGGAGATGAACACCCACACGGAACTACTTATACACTTTTTGTGCTATACTATTAGCTACCTGCCAGCTCAGAGAAAAGATTCAGCTCAGTGCAGGATCAGATGAGCCCTGGAGCTGGCATGAGGCAAGGGGCAGAACTTGCCAATGGGGAGAAGAGAAAGGACAAACTGCAGTAACCAGTAGGTACGCTCACGCAGAGCTACCAGAGGTCACAGCAAATCACCAAATGAAGAAGAAAGCTTACACACTTAAAATTACTGATCCAGTGACTGTGAACTGAGACAAATTGCATTTTACCTGGCAGTACTATGATCGCGACCACAAGAAAAGTGAATTTTTTAGGCCTCTAAAGTATATATCCAAGTTAGATTTTCTATGAACTGAAGTCTATGTTTTATAAAAATAAGTTTCAGAGAAGTTTCATCCTCAACCCATCGATTCAGAGATGCACTGTTTCCTGTAAGAGACTTTGTGTTTTTCTTACCTTTCCTCCTATTCGGACCTGAGCTTGAAGCTTGGCCAGTTTTTCTTGATTCATAGTGCTGTTCCTAAACGATGAGATATAAATACAGGTTATCTCTCAAAACATTAAGATAACTTGCATAATTCTTTTTAAAAGTACCTTCAAATTTGTAGTTTTTTTAAAATGGATAGAAGTTTCTCCAAAACAGCGGAGAGACACAGCAAACAAAAAGCTTTAAAGTCAATCTACTCAAGTAATTTTAAAAAAAGTGCCTACACTAGTTTGTGCATGTGAAACGCCTGCCTTATTATAAAGCAGATTATCAGGAAGATTAGTTTTGCAGCATTTTAGTAATGAAATATTAGCTGTTAATTTACAAGTATGTCACTTCACTGTTGGCACAGTCTAATTAGCTTGAGCTGCTCAGAACTGACCCAAACCAGCAGGTACTGCACAACTGCTCGTAGAAAAAACAGGAAGAAACCTTTATTTTTAACAGAGCCCAGGAAGAGAGTCACCACTAAGCTACTTTTAATGCTTTTTCCAAATAGCGAACTTCCAATGCGTCTGACTAACAAGCTCGCTCCGGGCCAGTTGAAGCTCGCGCACAAACAGGTATTTTTTAGGGGCCTCCAGCAGCTACACATCCAATTCAGTAACTGGGAAGTTAGCCAAGCAGATTTTCCTTAAAGCGGGAGCTTTAGAGACTGGCAAGGCTAAAAACCTCTAACGTCTGGAAAGCGCCTCAAGCCTTCCCGCACGGTAAGGAGGTCACCGGCAACCCTCACTGCGTTTCCACCGTGCAAAGCAGAGCGCGAAGGCGGCTCCCACGGGCCACCGGGAGGCCTCCTGCAGGGACACCGCGACGGGCCGACCCCGG